AGTAGACGGAATGTCACTAAGCCCAAAACAATTTATTGATTGCGAAGCATGCCACATTGGTAAAGACCGACAACGTACACGTCATAAGCATTTGAAGCGTGATATAACGACGAAGAATCAAGTGATATTTGTCGATTTACTTTTTCCGAAGTACAGCTCAAGCCCAAGAGCGTATAAGGCGGTACTTGTTGTAGTAGATGGATACTCCCGGTATACTACGGTGTACCCACTTTACTCAAAGAACGCATCGGAAGTAAATACAGCCATCAAACGATACATTTCCTGGGCAGAGCGTCAATTTCCCGAAAATAAGGTCAAGCAAGTGATATCTGACGGCGGAGGGGAATTTGTCAATGGGGAGATTACCCTTTGGTACAGGAATGTTGGCATTGAGTTCTTACCAAACCCACCTCATGGATCACACTTGAACCTATGTGAGAGAGCACACCAAACCCTAATTCACATGATGAAGGCAATGATGGCGTCCGCAAAGCTACCAAAATCGTTTTGGATGCACGCGCTTGAGATGGCGACGTACCTGAGAAATAGGGCATACTGTCGGTCAATCAAAGAGACTCCATACAGAATGATGATGAACAAGAAGCCAAACCTACATGGTATAAAGAAGTTTGGATCTCTCGCTTATGTCCATCAAGCGAACAACCCATCTCGGAAGAAACTAGATGATAACTGCAGAATTGGTTTTCTTTTGGGGTACCTGGAAGGACAAGCAGGATTTAAAGCTTATTTTCCAGCAGATCAAGTGGTTCAACACGTTTTGGATGCTTCGATCAATGAGGATATACTATACGGTGACCGATATCATGAAGGATATGCTGTCGCCGTATCAGATTGGTTGTCACGTACAAGTACGGATGATGAAAATGGAGCGAGTATGGAAGTCGACAGCAATGACGAAAGTATTGCGTCAGATGAAGACAGCATGGAAGTCGACAGCAATAGCGACAGTATTGAGTCGGATGATGACAGTATTGGGTCGGATTGTGAATCGATCCCGATTGACTATGAGAGCGAGTCATCAGCAATCGAGTCATCACCAAAGTTTGAATTAGTTGATGTGGATTCAGTGGAGACCAACATTGATATTCCTGTAATTCGGGATACACTCGATCTGAGTAATCAGAGCCCTATGTGTGCCAATGCCAGTGATGATGCAATTCAAAAACATCATACAAGCAAGCCCTCTAGCTTGGAAAGTGAAACGACCCACGATACCGAAACAGATGTTGACAGTCAATCAGCTGCCGAAAATTGCGACAAGGTGAGTTGTGACTATCGGTCAGAGACATCCGACACTAGTAATAGCGAGGATGAGGATGAAAATGTACATGCATATACGGAACTACCTACCACATTCAAGGATACAGTACATTCACGCGAGGGTGCGACGACGAGTGAGTCCAGCAATGACCTGATGGATACGTGTATGATTCCTGAAATAATTACTGGAGAACGTAGGAAAGTTTTGGATGCGGAGCTAGAGGATGTCCAAGAGATAAAACGACGGCGCGATAACAAAGGAAGGCCACAGAAAATGGTCTTACGCCAGTCAACAGAGCGCCGATACCCGTCGTGGCTTGAGGGGTACCTTGTGAATGCTGCACTCCATGAAAATAGCGAAAGTCTTACAGCGAACCATAGATGGCGAGCAAATGAGACCAAGATTCCCAAAAGCTTTACTGAAGCGATGAAGACGCCGCAAAAAGACGAATGGTATAATGGTATGAAAAACGAAGTGAACGCCATGTTTTCTAAGGGAGTATTGGTTCCGATTGATGAAACAGAAGCCCCGGCGAAGGCAAACAAATTAGGATTAATGTGGAGATTCCAAGTGAAGACTGATGACCAAGAATTCATTACTCGTTTTCGTCCTAGACTTGTAGGATTAGGAAACCATCAGCAGCCAGGAATTGACTACGTGGAATCATTTTCGCCTGTCGCACGGATTGTTACCTTTCGAGTGTTGGTGGCACTAGCCACAAAATTCGGACTGGTTTTATATCAAGGAGATGTACAAACAGCATACTTGAATGCGAATTTACAGATCAGGCAATATGTCCGAAATATACCAGGATTCCCTCAACCCCCAGGAATCATCTATCGAGTGGACAGAGCGCTCTATGGCTTGCATCAGTCAGGAGCCGAATGGAATGAAGAGATTGATAACTGGTTGGTCACTCAAGAGTTCAAACGTAGTGAGACTGAGCCTTGTCTTTACTTCTACTGCAAACATGCAGTACTGGCTCTTCTCATGTTATACGTCGACGATGTGGTATTAGCGACTGATTCTAAGGCATATAAGGCATCGTTTTTTGAAGCCATCGACGCGAAATATGGTTTTAAAGATGGAGGAAAGCTGCACTATTTTTTAGGCATCAATGTCGAGCAAGATGAGACGGACACGTATATTCACCAAACGAAATATTGCAAGGAAGTTCTCGAGAAAGTTGGCTTTGGCGAAGCACACGGTAGTGCAACTCCTATGGAGACCAACACTAGATAAAGGAAGTGCATTGAACCAGCTGAAGACACTGATTTTGATTATCGAGGAACTTTTGGATCGTTGATGTACTTGGCGACTACTACAAGGCCAGATATTGCGTATGCTGTGGGCTACTTGAGCCGTTTTGTAAGCAACCCATCACGAAAACACTGCGGAGCCGTCAAGCGAGTATTGCGATACCTATCTGGTACACTACAAACCGGCATAAGATACACACGAGATATGGGAGCAAACGAAGATGTTGTCATTACTGGATATTGTGATGCTGATTGGGGCAACGATCCCGACTCAAGAAAAAGTGTCACCGGATTTGTGCTTATGATGGAATCTGGAGCTGTCGCATGGGCTGCCAGACGTCAAACAATAGTCGCACAATCAACCGCAGAAGCCGAATATGTGGCAGCATGCGAAGCGTCCATGGAGGGTCGCGGAATTGCAAATATGCTCAATGAGATTTTACACTGTATACAGGCACATGCTGTACTAACGATGGGCATTGACAATGCGGCAGCTATTTCGCTGGCATGCAAACCCACACATAGCAGCAAAACAAGACACATTGAGCTAAGATGGCATTATGTGCGCGAACAAATTAAGGCTGGGCATATTTTGGTAAAGAAAGTGTCCGGAACAGAGAATCCTGCTGATATGTTCACAAAGGCTCTACCGAAGCGCAGCCTAGCGAAGTATCGAGCCGACATTGGCATGAGGATTTCACAAGAGCAAAGATGTTCCGACACAAGCGTCGGAGGGGGCGTGTTGTGATATGTTCCTCCCAAGTTGAAGTCGTTGGAACATTTCACGTCCGTTTACACATTTCACGTCCGTTTACCGATTCCGATGGTGAAACGTGGAAACAATGGAGAAGGGAAACGGCGGAGATCAGAATGGGACGAGTCGACAACTGGACGAGTCGACAAACGTTGGTGACAAGGTGGCGGCTCGCAGGTTAGCTTCAGCCGCATACATGAAAGCTCGAAAGCTCAGTCAGAAAAGTGCAAAGTGCAAGGCAAGTCGTCAGTAGCCAGAAAGAGCTAAACGAAGTAATATATATCTTTGAGTGTCAAGAGATATATCTCTATATCTAGCATAGCTGGACGCTAGAGAGACTGCAATAAAGCGAGATTGCAACACGGTTGGAGCACAGACATTTAGGAGAACGAGTGGCTAGGAGGCAGACAGAAGAGATAACTAGTAAGTATCAATACAGAATCTTATTGTTAACCTACCGCTTCCTTCTCGCAACACGCATCTTGCCTATAAGCTCTGTATTAATAATACATTATATGCAATATTACAACTTCAACCGTGATGTACTTTCGGTATGATGTTTCCACCGTCGTGTGATCCCGTTACATAGCGTAAGTAAAGCTTCATGGCAGCTATTTGTCGTACTTTTGCTCGCGTTGGCAAGAAGACGAGTTGTTTGTCTGCGTACCAAGAATGAAAAGACGGCTCGTCACCTTAAGACTACGCACACGGAAAGAATTGAGGAGAGAATTGGAAACAAATCGCCAGAGTGGTCTCTAAAGGAATGACCACCACTAAAATGGACGAGAATGTTTTAAAAGGCGTGCAATTATCGAAAAAGCGAAGGCGGGGGCGACGCGTGCTGAGATCAAACTATCTAGACATTTCTTTCGCGTAGTCGGCGTAGGTCTTCACATAATGTTATCAGTTACTCTAGAAACTGACAGCCGTAGTCTTTTTTATAGTGGTTTCATATACTCTGACGTCTTGTAATGTCTGATGATGTGAAAAAATTGTAGTACCTCGTCAGAATTTTTGGCTAATGTGTGTGTGTTTGGGCAGCACGATGATGAATTGGCCGCGTGTTGCTTTGTCGCATCGGCAACAAAAAAGGTGAAAAGTGTGCGTTGACTGCAGGAGCTACGGATTTCACCCCCTACGGAAGCCTCCATGACGTGCTCACTGCTATCAATGGACGAATTTGCGCTACCTGCCACAAAGAAGCCACTCCAACGTAAGCAACGTCGGAGGAGAATTTGGTGAGCCAAATGCTTAAGAGCGTTTTGACTTGATTAATTTCATGGCCTCATTTGCCACGTAACAAGTGCCTCAATATGTCGGTGTACTAGGATATTGAGGGAGCACAACATTAGCGAATGTATCGTGTGATGCCAATCAGCACAAGTTCCGAATAATCTGTGCGACAACTGCCATAACCGTGTACGATTGTAGTACTTCCTTACTTTGGAAGTACAACCTGAAAATAATCTACAAGACGAAACTGACGTGCTCATGTATAAAGACAACCACAATGTGCAAAATGAAACGTGCCACAGTCTTCTTGAGGTTACGTGCGGAGAGCTCATGCCGATCCTTTTCTGGAGTTAAATATACGAGTAGAAAGCACACGACACCACGCCAGCATCCAGATACGCAAGAGGGCGGTATGTCACCCCACGGCATCTTCTTTGCCAGTGGCGAAGGAGCAAAAACACCAACCCAATTGTTACTCTTCATCCGTCAGACCCACAGCGGGACTCAATGTCGCTACAATGGGACTCGCTCCGCGTTCGACCAACGAGTCCACAATATCGTACATAATGCGCCGTTGAGTAAGAATTTCCTGATCAATCCGTCTAGACGGGTGATTATTGGCACCGACATTTCCTTCATCAACGAGCTGAGATGTCAACGAGGGTGACGCAGTCTCGGTGGCAAAATCACGGGAACTCATCGATGTTGCAGGAAGCGCCACCGATTCTCGGGCAGCCTGCGTCACAAAAGTATTGAGCTCATCAGACTCCAGCTCGTTGGCGCGGAACGCATCTAGCGCATTTTGTCCGCTTATTATCGGAACGGTGCTGGAAAGAGACCGCTGCCGGGATGGTCGCGCATTAAAGGCGTTGGAAATTACACTTCGGTTCAAACGCGTACTCAGGACATTCGGCGCCGTGTAGGTCCTGGGTAGATAACTTGAATACGGCGCAGCTACTAACTCGGCGCTTGGGTCATGAATCGTACTGCGACCACTCATGTCAAAGCCATCTATCCTTGCTGCGGAACTTGGGCTTGAAAGACGATTCTCAAATTCTCGTGGAGTCCCGCTTACTCCATTTATGCACGGCAAAGATGCGCGTCCACCTTCTTCATCCTCCTCGTCATCACCGGACCCAGTCCCAGCCCATTTCCATTTTTTCTTGGCCTTCAGCGTAAGGATAGTTCGCCCAATTTTCACATGCATCGCCTTGTTCCAATCCAACTCCAATGGCTTGCTCAAAAACAACATCGTCCCATTCGAGCTTGAAGCATCAAACATGAAGAAATGATTCTACAGCGTGAATTACAGCACAAAACATTAGCAAAAGGATATCAAGGCCTGTAATATACAAAATTAGTTATCGACGTACATCCTGATATTTCATTTTGGCGTGCAGCTGGGATACCGTGCGGTAACGAAGTGTCATGTTGTTGGTGGTCGACCGACCGATCGTAAGGTATTGTTGGTTGCGTGGCATGCTACGAGGTACATGTAGAGCAAAGACAAGTTAGTCACCGATCACAATAAGCCTGTTGCTACGACAAAGACAACGTACTTTGCAAAGCTCAACTGGAATCGAGTGTTAGTTAGTGCGGTCGAGCGGTTCCGAGTCTCATGCTGAGTGACAACAGCGAATGTGACATAGGGCGGGGGCAACTTCTTGGCAAGCAGCGACACCACGCGACCATCGTCCAGGCGCACACTCGTCAAGTACGTAGCTTTGCAGATACTGCACACGTCGAGTCCATCTGTGTTGGTAACGGCGCACACCTTCTGGTTCGCGTTCGTCCCGTCTGCATCCAGATTATTATTCCAGCGTTGCAGGCAGTTGAGATGTACGTATTTCGTGTCACCCTTACAGTGACAGGGAGCTACGAGCGGATTATTGTCCGCGTCTTCTTCTCCGTCATAGCAAATGTAGCAGAACCGTTTGGCTCCGGTACCAGCCACACCCAGTGGCAAATTGCTGTGGCGTATACTAGCGTTGTCTTCTCCATCGCTGTTCGACCTTCTTCCTCCTTTTCTGTCTTTGTCCTCTTCCGACTCACCCTCATCTGAAGTGTCTTCTCCAATTTGCATTGTACGCTCATTGTCCTTATCGTCGTCCAATTCTTCACTGTCCTCCACGTTCGTAGATCTTTCTGTCGGGTGGAATGTCTGCTGGAGTGGCAAACTGAGGTAATTCTCCTTTAGAAACCCATACTGTTCATTCGTCAGCGCCTCTTCTGTCTCTTCACTGGTTGTGCGATTCAATTCACACACTACAAGACCCACGGATCCAATCCTCAGTAGATCTCCTAGTTTTAAACTATGTGGGATCACCGGATACTTTTTACTGCCTAGTACTCTACACACTCCCGTGTGGCCAGAAAACCGTTCAATGGACGAGCCACACACAAACTTCCTCACTGCGTTATCATACTTCAGTGCCAATGTCGTGGCTCGTGTATCGTTCAGCACACATTCTTTCATGTGTGAAGAAGCAGCTCGGACGTCGTCACTTTCTCTCGTCTCATCTTTCTCTTGTTCTGCCGTCTCCTCCTCCAAACTTCGTCTACGTCTCCGTAGCTCCTCCTGTCCAGCAAGAGCCGGAAAATCACGCATATGAAGCGTCTGGAAACTAGCAGCAAGGTCCCTCTCTAGTGCCGAGTTGAATAAAGGCACGTCCAGCGCCTCGGGGTTTCCAGCATTTAAATTGGTACTGGACGTCGCATAAAATGGGTACGAGCCTCGTTGTGGGCCGTGCAGAACGGCTCCATCTTCATCGACTGTAAACTCAAGCTTAGGCAGCGTTCGACGGCCTCTAGGGGCACTTACACGTGTCCCAGTGGCGTCCGTCGTCGTCCGGAGGTCTCCGGGCGTCGTTGTCTCGGCCTTTACCTCCACACGTCGCACACTCTTGAAGCCCATGTGTTTAGCACGAAGCATGGCACTCTTTTGAGAATGATTTAAGCCCCTACGGACGACTTAAAGAGCAAAACGTGGACGAAATGAGGGGAATGAAGGCGACGATCTACGCGCGGCAATAGCGTCAGCTGTAGATGAAGAGAGTCAATCGCACTTGAATAAGAAGATGCAGTAGCGTCTCCACTATACGTATATACAAATGGCGTCTCGTAAAATGCACTACACGACGAGGTATTGATCTTCCCGCACGAGGTCGAACGCTTCGTAAGACTTCCTTTCTTTCTGGCTAATCGTCGTTTGTTCTCGAGGGGGTATAGGGCGAAAAAGGACGCTCTAATTTCTAAATTTCCCAGATTTCAAAACATCTGAGTTTTACATTTTCAGATTAACCTCTAGTAATACATACAGAAAGAAGACAACATTATTATCAGTTGTAGCTTGTCAATATACTGGTAGACCTTATTGTTATCGATTCTAATGTGGCTATAAGCAAAAACGAGTGAGTCAACTTATCGATTATTAAAGGATACAGAGTTGACCAGCCTGGTTCTGAACATTAAATTTGGTGAATTTGGTGCGACATGAAACGCTTGATCTGATTTTCCACAAAGCTGAAACCGCCATCAGACGATCATTTCCAGTGGTCGAGCAACTGACAAATTTATGGTGATAAAGCACCTTCAGGCAACTTGCTGGGAAAACTTTGGTCCCCATGCAAAATAAATTACCGATACCGAACGTTTGGCCGTTAAATTCGCACAGCCAAAGGGTTTAGACATTTTTTTTCAATCTTAAAGCGACGCAACGCAATTGACACGTTGAGAATTGATGTTTATCCCATTGTACCAATGCGTTGTGAATGTTGTGACGGCAATCGAGCAAAAGTTATTCGCTCCTCGTTCAAGTAGCAACAGATGTTTGCAACAAAATATCCGTCATCAGTTTCACGAAACTGTCGTGGCATTTCGTCGCATTGTCCATTAAAATTTCTTAATGCTTTGGGCAAAATTATCATGTGTTTTTCGTATTGAACCTCGCTTCGACGACGTGACTTGAAGGATTTTTACGCCCTATTTTACAAATAACGTTTTCAATAGACGATTAAGTGTTGTCTCATCCTTTCGTTGTTCTAGATACTAATGTTGTTATGCGTAAACATTAATTTTCCCCAAACCTTTTTAATAAGTAAAACTGAACCAGCTCGTTTACGATTGCTTACATATGCCAATTACTTTGAGGTGAATTAGCTTTTTGCTTCACGGACATGTTACTTACTGTCTTAAGGTCTTCTTGTTCTTAATGCTAAACGAAAAGATCGTCGTCCATTGCACCGCAATTACTCGTATTGCGCAATGTGTCTTGGCTGGAAACGCCTGCTTGGGAGCTTGAGTTAGTTTTACAACATTGTGTAAACTGCGGTTGAAAGACGGCCCCATGCAAAACGTTGTTGCAAACAGGAAAGCAGGTACTTGTTAAAAACGACGTTCTCAGACGGATCATAGGATGTCGTTCAGACTGGAACCTCGTTGGTCAACTGCAGCTTGTCGATGACATCACAAGATATTCAAGTAGCACATGGTGGGGAGGTGACATCGTGATGTAGACTCGAGCTTGGCTTCTTGAATAATTGAATTGTATAGGCGTCTTACCTGCGTGATGTCTTATTCTCAATGTTTGTTCAACCAGTCGAGGTAGACGCCCTCGAAATGTGTTGATGAAGCTTTCCAAAAGTTTCAGTCAAGCGGTCACGAGTTGCTGGGTCTACCTCCACATAACGTGAGAACTGAATCCCGAAAGAGGCTTCACCCTGTGTCTTTGATCGCAGCAAAGTTGCATAGCCGACCATGTGTGCCAATGGAACATGAGCGTGGACAATAGTGCGGCCTTTGCTAGCCGTGGAATTACTACCGTCACTAGCAGAAAAAGACACCACCTCCTGGATGTGTGCACGTCTTTGAGAGCTTAAGTCAGACAGGACGTCGCCTACACAGCGATCAGGAGAGCGCACCTCGAGCTTCATCATTGGCTCTAGGATAACTGGACCAGATTCCTTAAGAGCCTGCTTCAGCGCAAGCGCAGCCGCTGTTCGGAAAGATGCTGCACTCGAGTCACAATCCCATTCGCAATCAGCTTCGTCCATCGTGACCTTTACGTATGCAACACGATTCGGCGTCAAAACTCCGCGACTCAGTCCAGCCCGCAGCCCCTCCTCGATCGCCAGAGCAAAAGCATGGGGCATCTTTTTTGCGCCCAGATTCTTCCAGTGCACAATGGTGCTGTTGTCCTCGTCATCTTCTTCATTGTCCTTGTCTTGGGTTTCCTCTTGTAGCTCAAGCAATGGATTCACTTGGACTGTCAGCTTCGCAAAATGGCGGTCAGTGCCCAACATGACATCGTGTACGTATGATAGCTCATTAGAGCTTGTAATGCTCTCCAGGTAAGCTACGCGCATAGTACCGACAGAAGGTTCAAGCTTGTACTCACTGCGCAGTCGTTCTTGAATAATGTCCAGATGAAGCTCACCCATGCCCGACATCAGCGTTTGGCCAGTCTCGTCATCCACTGTTACCACAAAGCTCGGATCCTCGCGTTGCAAATATTCCAGCGCTGTGTCGAGATCCTTTTGCTTAGCAGATGACTCGGCCTCAATCGAACACGTGAACACAGGCTTAGGAATTTGGACGCCTGGTAACACAATCTGGCTGGCAGCATCCTTAGCACTCATTAGCGTGTCACCCGTAAACGTGTGCTTAAGTCCCACCGCAGCACCAATGTGGCCAGCCGAAATGCTATCTACAGCCTCCTCACCGTCTGCAGCAACATGCATGAGCCTTGTCAGCCTTTCCTTTGTGCCATTACGAGAGGTGTTTATCAACTGCGATTTGGCATTCAGCACGCCAGAATACACGCGGAAGAATACAACAAGGCCACGCTGCCGGTCGTGCTGAACCTTGAAAGCAAGCGCACATAGCGGCTCGCATGAGGACGCCTTCCTCTGAACCACTTCGTTTTCTTTATGATGGCCGTGACCACGAGTCTTCTTGCCACCTATGACGCTGTGCGCTTCAAACGGGGACAAATCCAGTGGCGACGGCAAATAGTCTACCACAGCATCCAGTAACGGTTGCACGCCCTTGTTTTTCAGCGCACTGCCACAAAGCGTAACAACGACTTTAGACGCCAGGCTACGCTGCACCGTAATCCGTCGTAGTGCTGCCTTCAGTATATGATTTTCAATCTCTTCTTCCATGAGAAAAAGTTCACCGAGCTCATCATCGTAATTCGAAGCACGTTCGATCAACGTTTGACGTCCTACAAGTGCTTTTGCATACATTTCCGCCATCTTGCCACCCGTAGACGACAGCAAGGGTAGTCTCTGAACCTGTTCGCCTTCTTTGTCCATCCACTTGACCAACTGCATGTCCACAAGATCTAGTAATCCTTCGAATCCCGCTTCTTCTCCAATCGGCAACTGCACACACAATGTCTGCACTCCAAATCTGGCTTCAATAGACTCGCATGACCTGCTAAAGCTTGCTCCTTCACGATCCAATTTGTTAATAAACGCAATACGTGGGACTTTGTATCTGTCTGCCTGTTCCCAGACCGTCTCCGTCTGTGCCTCCACGCCTGCCACGCCATCCAGCACTGCAACAGCTCCATCCAGTACACGTAAAGTTCTCTCTACTTCGATAGTAAAGTCCACATGACCAGGAGTATCGATGAGATTAATGTCGTGTTCACGCCACGGGAAACTGATGGCGGCAGCGCCGATAGTGATACCCCGCTCCCGTTCCTGGGGCAAAAAGTCCATTGTTGCGTCGCCGTTGTGTACCTCACCCATCTTTCGAATAGCTCCAGCATAAAACAGCATGCGTTCCGTTGTAGTGGTCTTGCCAGCGTCGATATGCGCCAAGATGCCGATGTTCCGGATGGTGGCGATGCTTGCAGCGTCCTCCTGGGCGAAATTCTGGGCGGTAAGAGACAAAGAAGAGCTGCATCGATTCACATGATGCTGGCAAAGAAGCGGTAACCTGTAGAATGGTGAAAAGGGCTGCCGGGAAAGTGACAGCAGCGCGGATGCGCGACAGGAATTTATGCCGAATTGACGCAACATTACGTGTGGCTCAGGACACTTTATAATAATTGATATGATTTGATTTGTTAAAACATTTTTTTAAACACTAACTATCCACCACCCAAACGTTAACTATCCACCACCCTTCAATTTCTCAGAAGCACTGACAATTTAGCAAGGCGTATACTATACGTATGCAATGACAAACATAAGAATTGAAGTATGCAAACCAATTGTAGAGTATTGATTAAGCTCGTTTTTAGCAAGATGGCTACAGATGCTACCTAATACCGCTTCAACGTCAAGTTCATGCGATGCGTTTCGAGATTTATCACTCACTGGTAGCGAGGCAACGTGTCCACGGGCCCGAAAGAGCACGATCCGGGTTGGTAGCTTTTGATATGAGTAGCCATTTGTGCCGTTGAGAAGCATGGGCAACAGGCGACAGACATGCAGTCGTTCATGTTCGAGCCTGGAATCTGGAATTGACTGCGAATCCGCTTGCGTAGCATCCACAGAGCAGTGGTCAAAGATGCGTGTGTCAGCACTGCAACGACCAGGAACGCTATATTGATCGCAGGTCGATGCTCGTTACCCATACGGTGCTCGTTACCCATGCGGTGGTCGTCACCCATGCGGTGGTCGTCACCCATATGGTGGTCATCGAAACGGTGCTCGTGCGAGTGGTGCCCGTGGTGTTGGTGATCGTGGTGCTTTTGGTGATCGTGGTAATAGTGCCCGCCCCCGTTGCGTCCGAGCATCGCCACTGCAATGAACTGCACGACAGCGAGTATCAATATGAGCAGCTCGAGCAAGCACAGGATGCCGAATAACAGCAGTGCGGAGTTGAACGGCAGAAGCCCCAGACGACTCGTGATCTGTGCGAGCGACACGCACGGACAAAATGAGGCCATGAGAGCATTCGGCACAAGGTTGTTGAAGCTGGAGAAGAGATTGGTGCTCCAATGGCCAGTTGCAATGCCGTGAAAAGCGTCATCGTCGAGTTGCTTGTAGTTGCTGGGATCGTCACATCCCGGAGTGCAAGGTACAATTCTTTCAGGATTTAACGTGTCATTCACCTGGATCGCGTAAGGAGCTCTTGAAGTGTCACTCGGGTTCATGATCGTATTCATTGAAGTGGAGAAGGTGTTGGTGGTAGTGCTGCAAAAGCAATAATGAGTTAGACAGCTGCCTCGGATTTCCATCGCCTAGTAGAACGATTGATCCTAGTGTCTTCCCACACATGGTCAACGCGATGATACAGAGCACTTCACATCATCGCGTGCTTGACTTAAACTGATTATCTCATTTACAATTTTCTATAATCCGTTACCATTATCACTTAAAAGTGAATTGGGCTTGCAAGGGTGTTTAGTAGGACGAACTATTAGTTTCATTGATGTCTCTGTTGGTTTCGTGATTAGTTGAGAAAAGCATAGGGACATTCTTACCTCCTTTTTCTTAATCAGTTGAGACAAAGCATATAACATTGCACGCTTTTTCTCAACTACAAATGCGATATACATGTCTTACATAACGTTCTGATGTGCAAGGTTTATAGTCCCAACATATAGAAATGATTCAGCAGCCGGACGCTTCAGCAATTCGAACCCGAGTTGAAGCATTGTGCTTTTATGTGACCTTAAAGTACGGCGTTTTAATAAATTCTGAACGAATTTGTAGACGATCTAGCGTTGCCTGGCCACCTAGTGCATTCGTTGCAATCGGGCTTGTGTGACTGGCATTTGCGCCGTAGTGAATTTAAAATCTTACGGAATAAACTCATTAATCTTGTGCTTCAGACTACGATGAAGCACGACCAGCAAATAGACGCAAATTTTCGTGAATATGTTATCCGCTCTGAGCTGTCTAACTGCAACGTTGACGTCTCAAAGCGTCTCAATTCCTTCTAAAGGTTTGATACGTATATTTGCTTGGACATGTACTTGTTACCTCGTGCCTACAGTAAAGTCTTCACATCACCGCGCAACAATAGCGCAATCAGGTGAGCCGGGATTTAATATTATTAAATCCTGATGCGGGATGTCTTCACACGCGAACCAGGTAGCAGTTTTGACTTCAGTCCTTTCAGACGAAGATCTCGGCCTTTCGACCGCCCCTTAGGATGGTGTTGACGTTAGTTGATGATCCTTAGAAACAATACAGCTATTCTTCTTGGCGTAGAGTGTCGAAATATGCGAATACTCGCAGAATATCTTTTGGTGCTGTGCAATGACACCATGTCATAAACCAGGTAATCAACCAATGTACAGACAACTACTGTTGCCTTGAGGCCTGATAAAAGGTCTGCAACAGCTCATTTGCTCGCATTTCTACGATCCCAGAGCTGTACCCACTGCAAGTCACCATGTCGATAGCATTGTCTAACGCGATGCGGGATCACTTTGATTGTAAGCCTAGTCGTTTATGTCTCGCTCGCTTTGGTCAGCGATATGGATTCACATAAGGTAAAGCGGGTGCTGTAGATGGCGGAGTTTTCCTCCTTTGTAACTTGTCGAGGTTTATGTGAATTCGTTACCAATGAACGAAAGTTTTGCTGGGTCAAGTAGCTTACTTACCTTTCAATCTATCGTTCTACACCACATTTTTGCGACATATCACCTGCTATGCAACCTTTATAGAATGACCCAAGCGAGCGAATTCCACGCTGAGAAACGTCGTGATTTATTCTCGCTACTACTTCTGCAGGTGTTACTTAGGGGTCTTGCAAACTCACCATGGCTTCTCTGTTGGAACGTACAGTGTTCTGGTGAAGACTCGTATTCTAGGACGTTTCAAGATCCAATTGTCACTACAGCACTATACTCAAATCCAAAATCTTTTACGTCTGCTGCAATAGAAGGCAGATCTAGCCACCAATTCGATTACAGATAGTCAGCCAAACAACCAGAACCAGTCCACATGGAAATGTATCGTCATCAACTGATACAAATATATGTTTCAAGTCAGCTTCCTTTTGCTCACCGAAGACCAAAGGAAATCACACGTTTTTCAAAATCTCTATAGACTTACTACCGGCCTTTTCCACTCAACTCACATCTTGACGTTGCAAGTCCAAAGTTTTGGGTTTGGTTTCAAGGTCAACTCGTCTCCCACCAGTTGCTTCCAGCTTTCATGCGTCTGCTGGATCACATTCAATGCAAACTCTCTTGATTGTGCTTCGCCATTAAATGCAAAATCACTGGCCGGTTTTCCATCCGGAATCTTGTAATCCCGGAACCAACGATGCACTTGTCCAACCACATCATGCAGTGGCGTCTTCTTCAAGTCTCTCAAGTCATTCACCTGTTCAGCTAGAGGATCGTTCACATTCATTGCAATAACTTTCCAGTCCGTCTCTCCGCCATCAATCATACCCAAAACCCCAAGCACTTTGACGGGGTAAATCTCGCCAATGCTGGCGACGCGACTGCCAATCTCACACACATCAATGGGGTCGTTGTCTCCACCATGTTTAGTGGCTGCATCCACGTGGTTAGGGTCTTCCCATGTTTGTGGTAAACAGCCGTAATTGATCAGTGACGCGCTGTGGTAGAGACGAGGAGCACCTTGACGCTTGTCTTGTTTGATTGGATTAAATTCTTCGTCGCCTGCTATCTCCATCTTGAGTCGCGACCCCTTTGGAATTTCATTCACAAAGTGAAAAATGGCAGTGTTATCATCTTGTAGAGGGTTGGGGAGTGACGACGACGCGTAGAGAGGCACATGGTGCCACGGAGACTGCTTGTGACCGAGATTGTTGTAGAAAAAGTAGCGACAATCAAGTGTACCAGGTTGGCCATGACAACGGACAGTATGCTGCACAAGAGAAGAGGAATATAAGTCGAAGGTTACAAGAGTAAAGAGATAGAGAGAGAAGACGCACCAGACGCTTGGCATGGATACATTGCACCACGTGATGACGCAACGTCAGGAGCCTCATATGTTTTAATGGAATGGAACGCCACAAACTACGTAATAGAATCTGGCAACCTGCGAAACCGCATACTGTTGTGCAGCAAAATAAAAAGTGATGATTCTCATTACTGGTACCTGTATTTATAAGTATTTGTATTAATCTTATAGTATATATGGTAAGATAAATCATACTCAACTAATTCTATATAACGATATTTTGTGACTTTTTCTTAAACTCATAACCCCAGATTCAGCAGCTAATTTTTTTAAATTTTAAACTACCATTTATCATTCCGCAATTGGGCCTTTATTACCTCCTCATGGCGACGTTACTGGACACGACAATGGAAGCGTCAAAGCCTGAAGGTCACGCGACCTCCCACTTCGATCACAATAGCTATCAGTACATACAGGACACGGAGCCAGAGACTGACGCACCGGAGGACGAGGATGACGACGACGACGCGGATTTTCAGTTTAATGCACCGTCTTATTACGACCTTAAGAACCCGGCGCTTGAACAACGTTACGTGAATAATGCAGACGGTTATTTCTCCTCCCCTGCACCGTCGGTTGAGGCTGAATTTATAGGATTTAACGGTAATCCGGACGGTGCTAAAACATTGATTAAAACGGACGCTAATTGCCACGTTTTAGAGATTGAAATGGAAGATAAGACGACAAATATGATGGATACAACAATGACAGGCCCTGAAGAAGAAAAAGAAGATGAAGAAATTGAGAACGTACTGAACAGAAGCAATTTATTGGAAGACAGAGAAGAGAGTTTTGAAGAAGTGTTTCGACGCTACGCATCATCATCTCAATCTTCAGCCACGTCGTCCTATTTACTACAAGATGTAGACACATCTATGCATAGCTCTACACACGGTCACTTTTCACCTTATAGTTCACAGACATCGTCGTCAAGTACGACGTTAAGAGGAAGGAAGGCTCTGACGGAACCGACACCAATGAATAATGGAGTACAGGCTATTAGATCGACCAAGAACAGGCTCTCAGGAGACAGTGTCACGTCTAAATTGATGCAGCCGACGCAATCGTACTTAAGACGATTGCAGGCGGAACAGAGGATGAGAGAGCAGAGTTACATGGACGAGGTTCCTGCAGAAGAGAAACCACATCGTGTAACACGACCAAGAAGTCCTAAGATGCATTCAAAGACACGGACTGCAAATCCAAATGATCCATCAAGGATGAGCAGCACGAGTCGAGAGTTGCTGAAAATTCAGGAGGAGCGACTGCTTTTACAATTGGAAAAACTCAAGATTCGAGAGTTCCATGAGAAAATTAAAGTGCAGCAACCGCCGACTAATGTTCATCAGCGGTCGACGAAGCAACTTACGATCCCACAGACGCCGCACTTTGAGGTGGATAATCGCGCACGACGACTTCATGGTGGAAGGGATAGCAGCGTGGCCGGACAAGATAAAAGGAGTCCGCCTATTGCAGCAGAAAAGTTGTTATCCCGTGATTTTGCTCTTCCATTTAGGCCACATGTCCGAGAAAGTCGATCAGCTTTAACGGTGAGACAGTGAAAGCGACGGGTGCATTATAACTGAAAGGCTAATGTGTTTGTGTTTATACTTTGCTGCCAAACAGACACCACATGCTCCGCAACTCCATACAGCGACACGAGCCGACCAACGGTTGCCACCAGTTCCCGTGTCACATGAGCAAAGGAAACCAGCCCAAGATTACAGTCGCCCGAAAGTTGGTGGCCTTACTCAGGTATGTTAACGTAAGGAGTGTTCTGCTGCCACAACTCCAAGCTTGACGGGGCAAATCTTATGTTATGCAATAGCCAATGACCCCGCAGCTGGAAACCCGTCGACGAGCAGCGACGCATCGTCGACCGGTTGAGGTTATCGATGATGACGCCGAAGAACTGGCCAAAAAGTTTCACGCTCGACCATTGAACAAGCACATCCTTGAGCCAAAATCGTATCCTCGCTACTCCCCTGCAAAACCGGACAGCAAAGCTCGATTGACCCATCGGATGGCACCGAAGTTGCCGACGAGTGCAGTGACTCGCCCACAAGCCTTGCAGCGAGCTGCTTCCGTTACCGCTGAAATGGAACGCCACCGCAAAGAGCGGGAGCGGCGTTTAAAAGCACGCCAAGCAGGCTCGACTACCCAGCCGAAGTCGTTGCCAGCACCAATTCACCGGCCTGTGATTCCTGAGACCCCACCGTTAAAAAGTATCCAGCTGCATCGAGAGTACCAGAAGAATTTTCGTCGCAAGATTGAAGCTGAAGAGGAAGAAAAGGAAAAGCAACGCCAATTCAAAGCTAATCCCATGCGTGTGACGGCACCGCCTGCGAGGTTTGAGGGCTCGACAAAGCCTACCACCGAGGTGAAACCATTTGAGTTGCCTGGAGAGCGTTATCACGAAGAAGCCCGAGAGCGCTTAGAGCAAAAACGTCGGGAGGAGGAAGTGCAGTGCCTTAAGTCATCAGGCATTTTTCGTGCAAAACCTATGCCAGTGTTCGAGTCCGAAACTGTCCACGTAGTGCATAGCACTAAACCTCTCACGCAGACCGAGTCCCCTATGCTGGCAACAAAGACTCGAGCTGCCGAGCGAGCTGCTTTCGAAGCCGCCGAAAAAGAGCGTCGCGAACGAGAACAAGCATTTTGTGAACAGAGAGAGCAACAGGAACGTCAATTGAAGGAAGAAGAAATCAAGCATTTGCGTCGAAAGGAAATGATTTTCCACGCGCGACCCGTTCCGGACGTCAAACCATTCCAGCTGAAACATGATACGAGGCCGCTAACTGAGCCGGCAAGCCCGACGAAGCGTTCCTAGCTTTTGCGTTATGCATGTGTGGCATACTCTTGGACCGAAAAAGAACGCACTGGAATAGGAGAAAATATAAAGCAGAGCAGGCATCTGGAGTAGCTCGTGTTTACGGCCATGTACCCGCCCAGATCCAATTGTTTGAGAATCGATGAGTTTGTTAGCACTAGCAAAGTGTAAATACATGACTCTGCCATTGCCAGTAGTGGCTTGTCGACCATTTTGCCTTTTTTTCCTGGTTTGCGCTTGTGTGGAGGAATTGGTGGTAAATAAGACAAAAGGAATAGATTCCTGTCAAAGGCAGTAGTAGCCCATGTCGATATGGAAGTTATGCGCGATGCTGCTTCTCGTGAAGATCGAGTTGATCGACTATTGTGCTAGTGATGAAGTGATGAAGATGCTGTCACCATTCATTAACTTGGAAGCATTAGCAGAAGAAGCAGCAAAAGAGACAACAGAAGACAAAGGTGCTGCTAGACCTGTTGACACCACATACCCCTTGGCTTTAGTGGAAATGAATGCTTTGCTGCAGATGTACCAAGACTGTCGCTCACAGCAATCTACAAAGCTACGCACATGGTGTATTGGCAATGACAAGGATCCATTCTTGGATGAAAAGTACCATCATGAAGAACACTGCCCACGTGGAATCCTGACACATCCATGTACAGGTCGCGTGCTCCATTCCAACAGTAGCGTGAACAAACATGATATCGAGTTCTTGTGGCGGTGGAAAGGAATACAGTGTGATATATACACGGACCCAACTACGGTGACACACATGTACGTTCAAACAATATGCTTTTCTGTGCCACGTGTGAGTTTGACGTAGTAAACGTCGCAAGTGTAGCTATCTTCCAGGTGAGAGCTTAACATGTGAATTGGCCAACGTGGACCTAAGCGTTATGGTGTCACTGGAGCAACTGTGAGTTGCGTATCAAAGCTCGACAAGTGAAGAAACTAACACAGATGTGGTTATGGGGAGATGGCAATAGGGACCTATCAGATAATCAGCTTTATGGAGGGTTTCCAGCGTGGCTAGGCGACATGACAATGTTACGGCTATTGAATGTCGCAAACAATAAGCTAACAGGAGATATCCCGCCGTCTTTTGCTGGAAATGATGCCCTCGAGCTGATGTAATGTAGTCATTTAGACGTCATGGGCCAAAGCACTAACTAACCAATCCTGTATATGCAGAAACGTTTCCGGAAACGGTCTCTCGGCGTCAACACTCGGATTTTTCGATGCGTTTCATCGTCTTCAACACCTGTACGTATGCTTATAGCTATGGTGAGTGAGGACTATGAATGACACAGTTATACCATGAAAAAAGCGACCTATCGTCTAACACGTTCGCGATGGAGCTGTCAAGTAACTTGTTTTCGAGCCCATTCTTGCGAACGATGTACGGAACTCGGGTCTTTGTTTCTCCATTGTTCATGTCTAATGAGCGTGTTTTGCATTCGACAGAAATCTCAGTAACAATGCATTCGACGGAGAGCTGACCCAGTTGCCCATTTTTCAATATATTGAATCATTGTAAGCGTGTGATGTTGCTTACATGGCCACTGACATTAACGTGCCGGCCTGTACGCAGTGATGTGTCCTCCAATTTACTTACGGGCACGATTCCGCCGGAACTTTCGTTATGGGGTCGCGAAGACCCACACGACCCTGACGAGAACTCATCCCTGGCCATTATGTACGATAGGCACCTTTTACTTTGGTTTGTAGAGTGCTCACTTGTGTTTATCATTCCATTCTTAGCGATTTGTACAACAATTTTTTTACGGGTGATCTTTCTGTGCTATCGAACCAATCGGTGCTCCAACGATGGTAAGTTTGACACCTTTTGAGGTAACAGCTACTAACTTGCGAATTCTTTCTGTATATGAAACTTGTTTAGTGATGTTCACGATAACAATTTCGGTGGCTTTCTTCCCGAGTTTCCTCCTTCATTGTACGCACATTCATTGTTCCTGATATGAGCTACAAATCTGACCTTAGTAAATTGTCTAGGCTCGACTTTATAAAGCCGTCGATGTTTGATGGAAATGCGTTTATGTGCCCCATACCTGTCACGCTGCTACCGAGCAATCTCACATGTATTTGCGGTAATGGACATACGATCACGTCGAATCTTGTTACAGAATTATCAAGGCATGAAAAAGTTACCGCACGAGTTCCTGCAAACCGAGCTACCGAAATCTGTGTACCATGCTACGAAGGCTTATACTCGAACGCAACGACAAATCAGAAGTGCCTTCCGTGTCCAGCGGGAGCTGTGCCCAGTAAAGAGGCTGATCACTGCAAGCCTTGTCTCCCTGGTAGCTTTTCCAATGTAAGTGGTGCTCAATTCTGCTCACCATGCTCGCATGGAAAATTTGCAGACGGCATTGGTGCGGCTTTGTGCAGCCCATGCAACCCAGGACAGTTTGCAGCAGATCAAGGCTCGACAAAGTGTGATGAGTGTCCTGTAGGAACCTATTCTGAATTGAAAGGAGAAAAAGTGTGCACGCCATGCCCAGCAGGAACTTATGCAAGTGCTAAAGGAGAAGCAGAATGTTTAATGTGCTCGAAAGGCACCTATCAAGATGTGGCTGGATCGGCAGATTGTAAGGCTTGTCCAATCGGGTATATCGCGCCTCACCAAGGTCATGCAAAGTGCTCGCCATGCTCCCCTGGCAGCTTTTACGACGCTCTCCACACAACATGTACGCTTTGTCATGCTGGGACATTCACTGGGACACCAGCACAGACTGAGTGCATCAAGTGCGAAAACGGAACAGTTGCAGAAGGTTTTGGCAATGACAAATGTCTTAGTGTTGCAATTCCTGAATTGGGATATACCACTACAAATACTGCACTGAAGTGCGGCTCAGGGACATTCAACGATGGTACATGGAGAACTTGCCAGCCGTGCCCACCAGGGACGTTTGCACCCAATAGTAGTTCTCGGATGTGTTCATCATGTGCTAAAGGCAGCTTTGCATTCAACAACGGATCATCATACTGTAATTTGGCCCCTCCTGGATCGTTCGTTCAGGTGGAAGGTGCAATCCGAGCGGAACCGTGCCCACCGAACCATTATGCCGCTAAGAATGGCTCTATAACGTGCACCCAGTGCCAATTGCCATCATTTAGCTTTCTGCCTGGTGGTAGTAAATGCATTCTTGCCAAGCCAGGAGAAGTGTACGATCACGTGACATGGCCAAGTTTTGCTTTAAACTTGGCAGGTGTTGAGCAACACGATCTTCTCACAAAACGTAGCCAAGTTTCGCCCATTGATGTACTGATTCAGACCTGGACCGAAACACTGACAAGCTACTCGGGTTTGAACTGTTCGCTGCACGTGTTACGAGTGCACCAACCTCTTGGCTCAGCTGAATTGACGGAAATCATTGTAGCTGTAGAGATAACAACGCCAGTGTCGCCCAAGACACGAATCGATAACACGTTGGAGAAGGGGGTAAGTGACGCCATTCATCAAGCAACGAAGGCTGCTGAAAATGCCTTGAACGATTTATTTGATGAGCTCAATAGATCAGACACGAAAGAACCAAAGGACATTGATCAAGTTGCAGCTCTAATGAGGTCAAACTCATTTCAAAATGCTCTAGTACGTCAGTTCCGCCGCACAAATCTATTGACTGGAGCATTACCACTTATCATGGTAAACGTGTCACTAGTCGAACCGTCATTTCGTTCGACTCGCGCAGTGGCGTGTGCAGCAGGCACATTTTTTACTGTCATTGACAAGTTTACGAGGAAGTGTCAACTTTGTCCTGTAGGTTCGTACTCATCCACGAGTGGCGCATTAAAGTGCAAACCGTGTCCTCGAGGGACTTTTTCTGCCAAGGAAGGAATGGAATCATGTACATTGTGTCCATTAGGTGCCGATGCAGCACCAGGTGCTTCGTCTTGTGTGGAATGCTCGTGGTTGACATATGAGTGCAAAGGTTTCTGGCAAGACTTGATCATCGCTGTTGGTATTGCTGCTGGTGTGCTCCATTTTCTCTACAAGAGAATGCGTCAATTATGCATGGGTGACCAAGCTCAGCGGCAGCAAGACGATAGTGTGGCGTTAATGGCAGCTATTCGAGCTCATGGTCGCACTTTAGATGGTGTGCGATATGCTCCGATGGTGAGTTTTTCTATTGCAAATATCTGATCCAGTGACTGCATGACAGGACTAAAGTTGTTGACGTTATGTTGCAGGGCATGATTTCAGCGGACACGATGCTTGGCATTTTCCCTGGGACTGAAAACGTTCCGTGAAAACATACGGTATTTGTGTCATGTCTGAAACTGCAGTTGTGAGTACTCTCTATTAACAAAGACTATTGCCAGCGCTTTGTCCGGTAACACTGCAGCATGCCGGAACGTTCGCGCGTGAAATTTAATTGATACGTTGTAATGCGGATTAGTTCATCTTCTGTGTTGAATTTGAAGTTATCATGATGTTGTTCTTCTACGAAAAATCACAATATTTTTTGCTAAAATCTGTGCGAAATGATGGCGACTGACCTTAACTGTACATCGGGCAACGGGTTTTCACCCGGCACGAACCTTCTTCAACATTGATTAGAAAATGGATCAACTTGAAGAAAATATAGTGTTTTACAGTCAGTTAGATCGTGTAGATCCAGACCAACATCATTACAAATCTGAGGCTACAATGTTTGTGCTCGACCGTTTCGACAAAATCACAACATTTTATGTAACTCGTGGGGTAGGACTATAAGAGAGGATGACGACACGTCAACAAGCTGATCGGGCCGAAAAAAATAAAAAAAATTCTGGCCAGTCAGCAATTGGCACGAAAAGTGAAGGACGTCCGGCGCTTGCACGACCGACCGATCAGCCCCTGTCGCTTTAAGATAGTGCGCACCTGGCCATGTTAGACACACAGACAGCGGGCAACAACTGGGGGAATTCGTTTGGCTCGCGCCCAGACATGGACAGCGTGCCGCTCTTTGAGCGCGAGCATCGCAACGACAGCCAGCTAGTGCAGCGTCTGCAGAACGAGCTGGCGGATGCGAAGCGCTTTGTGGAGGCGCAAGCGCGGCGCCAGAACGACCTTGAGTACGTGAATGAAGATTTGGAGCGGCGTTTGGAACAGGAGGCGCTCGACCGTATCACACTGGACGCACAAAAAGCAGAAGATGAAAAGTAGGTCCCCCTGTCGCTTTAAGTGACTTTTTTTCCTTTTTCAATCAATATCTTTACTTTTATCTGATATCACAATTTGTATATGATAGACGGTGGCAGCAGGAAAAAGCAGCGCTGGAAGTGCAACTTGAATCGTGGGAAGTTCGCTTTGAAGAAGAGACTCGTCGTCGTGCCATGGCTGAAGAACGTCTTCGTCGAGCTGAGAAGGAGCTGTATCGGATGCACCAAAAGAAATATGACATTGAGAAGCAGGTTCGTCGTGAGGAGAGCGAGAAGCGCAAGCACGAGGCGGTGATTGTGCGCAGTCTACAGTCGGACTCGCAACGTGCGCAGCAAAACGCGTCCAACGGGTTTTTGGACCCGACAGTGAATCCGAAGGACGCCAAACCGGCGGCTGTTCGCACGAGGCAGGCGCTGTCTTCTGCAATGGACTTCCTGGGCGTCTGAGCGCTGATAGATAAGACACTGCACAGTGGAGATAGGTTCTAGGAAGGAAGGATGTTATTGCTGCGAGAATGAAAAGTCTCTGTTTGAGACGCACTGGCCGAGTCTCTTCGACGGACTGCAGATTGATGCGGACTTTTAACAAGCTCAGAGAAGAAGAAGAAGAAGATGGGATGGCGCGTGTATCATATGAACAAGAAAGAGAAGGAATAGCTAGCCACTTGCATTTCAATTTGGCTCGATTTTTTCTGTCTGCTGCTTAAGTAGCTGTAAGTTTACAGTGGATCGTGTTTATCCGGATACGTGGATTTAGAAAAAAACAACAAACTGCAACCCACATCAGCATGGCTACATTTGCAATCAAAGGAATTCCTGACGCAATGAACAGGTTATATAAACTCTATAGTCAAAGCTTTTTCATAAGTTTGACCCTATATTTCGCAAAAAAAGACGTCACGCGAACTGCTACAGCTCATGTAAAAGTGAGTGAGCCACAAATTCTACTGTGCCTCTCCATTTCACTGTCCTTTTAGTCTTAGGCCCAGATGTCGCTCACACACGACAACTTGCTAATACCAGCTGGAATCAAAAAGAAGTAAAATACATGAGGCTCTTCCATTCACATGTACTAACAAAAGGTCTTTGGTCTCTGCCGAGATGCACCTCATACCACCATCAAAGATAAGACTTGCTAGCATTTTGTAGTTAATCATTTCAATTCTTGGCTCATTATTGCAATGTCAATCGTCGGTAACATCATGCAACAACCGTTAAGCGACGCCTCGACGGTTGCCGTTAGCTCGACCTTGAGCGAGCAGGAGCCAGACTTGACTACGAACACGCAACTTGGGAAAGCCCTTGTACAGAAAGACGCAAGCGAACGATCGTCCATTTGTGTGTTACGTCGTTGCATACTCGAGTGTCATTATCGAAACGAACAGGACAAGATGGTGCAGTTTAAAGGTCTTTATGTCGTACGTGGCCCGACGGATTCCAAACACGTGCGTTATACGATGGAGATTACAGTAAATGAGCTACAGCTACAGGGACGCTGTATCCAACGCTTTCACAGCTTTTTCCTGCTACGTAAAAACCTTCTTGAGGTGTTGAAAACCTGTCGTGGTCGTCTTCCATCCGCTTTGCCTAGAGTCGAACAGGAGCCGCAACTTACAGCCGGTGCAGAGCTGGTGAAAATCCTCTCTCGTCCTCGATGTATTCAATGTTCTGAGTGCGAGTCAACGTATGACCAGCTTCTTGCAATCCATTTTCCACGTCGTACGTTGTTTCCACCAAGTCTCCAAGATGTGAATGAGAGATCGCAAATGCTCGAGACTTTTCTGGACTATTGTGTCCGCCTCGCTACGTCGTGGCCTGCTTGTCAGCGCAGCCAACGGTTGTTTACCGCTGCGCTGGGCAAGTTTCTTGGAATGGACATGAAGGCGTATCTCGTGGCACAGAAAGAAGATGACACTGTCTCGGACCGTCGTACAGTCGTTAGTGTCAACATTCACGATGATAAAGAGCAGTCGAACGAGTCACTCAAGACAAAGTTGAAATCCCAATCAAGCGACTACGAAGACGATTGTCGCTCGGAACCAAATTTTTCTTTCATCTCGAATCCGCCAAAGGAAGACATTAAAGACGCTGGTCTTGTGCGCTCAAAGTCGCATTGCTAAATGCATGTGTACTGTGTCGAGACGTTTCATACATTATCCTGCATAGTCCGTAGATTTTCTATCATTTCGATACACTTTAATACAACAAAGTATCATGGTTCAGATTAACGGAGACCATGAATGCTGCTGACTTGGCCCAAATTGTCCATCGTGATGGATTCGTAGTGTTGCCTAAAGAGCCGTTTCAAGTCTCCGAGTCGATCGTAACTCTTGTCCGAACTCAAGTGCTTGATCTGTATGAGGAATTTATGACTGAAGCTGTCAACCGCCAGCTCGATTTTCAACTTCGTGAACATGCCGAACGTCTTCCAGGTTTCTACGTGCGTCAAGGTGGTCGAATCGACATGCAGTTGAGAAGTTCAGCTTTCTACACTCCATGGATCGAAACTGGAAAGTCTATGGACATGAATCGGCTTGAGAACATGGTTGCAACTTGGCGGTCGGTGCTCACGGAACTCTTTGCACCTGATAATTTCCATCTCGAGTACATTGGCTGTGTACTCTCACGACCAGGAGATGTTGACCAGAATTGGCATTTAGATGGCGTGCATCGTGATCAACAAGTCCAAGAACCTGGTGAGATAAAAGTTGCTGCAGAGTAGGGGGGGGGGGGTTCTAACATAGCTAATTGTTATGGCGTTATGAATGAGAAAGTGGATCGCCTTAATGTGTTTGTGCCGCTCGTGGCCATTACAGACCAGACTGGAGGGACCGAGATGAAGACAAGGTCGCATATCCACAATAATGGAGCTCGTGGGACGGCTTTTGAGGGCTACAAGGACTTGCCAAGTATAACGGCGTATGTTGAAGCAGGGACGCCTATTATCATGGACTATCGTGTATGGCATCGTGGTTTGGCGAATACAAGCGAGAGCACTGTGCGTCCTCTGCTTTACTTCAAATACGCCAAGATGACAGCACCTGTGGTGGTCAAGGCTCCAACGAGAAAGAGGAAGAGAATCACGCCAATGATAGTTTGAAAGCAAGAAGATAATTTGCATTGTCTAGTTTGTAGCACTTGAGCTTTCAAGCAAAGACACAATGACCTCAAATGCTAATAGCTGATCCGGCAAGAACCCCGCTTGCGTTCGAAGCCTAGCCACGCGCTCATACAGCATAGTTCCGCGTTCGTCAGTTATCAGCGATGGGGTTTTGAATGCGTCGTAGCTCAGGAGATGACGCCAAATTTCTGGAGACGCCTCTGCGACGAGTGTCTGCGCAAAGAGCTGACGCGCAGAGCTAAGAGTGTTGTTGTCTCCTTCCGCAAACAGGTAGACAACGAGATGGTGAATGGCTATCGAATAAGCAAAAGCGCCTTGCGCGAGTGATACTTGGTCCTTGCATACCGCTTGTTGCATGAGCTGCAACAGTTTCAAATCGACGGCGGTCGTTGTTCCACCTCGTGTGCACCGCTTGAGCAATTGCGAGGTAGAGCCTTCGAATGGCGCCAGCGTATAGAGCAAATGGGATTCCTGTAGCTCCTTCCAAACAAATTTTCGCAACGCCAGAGAGAAATCGCGAGTCATCAGCAACGTCACGCATTGAGCAAAGTGCGAATTACCAAAAGACGAAGCTGTAAATTCACCAACCAGCTTCTCTACGAAAGTCATCACCTGCTGCTCACCCGACAAGAAAGACATCGCATTTTGACTCGGTGACGGTACTGCTTCCCTTCCAGACTCAAGGTTTTGAATACGTTTAAGGTTCCAGAGGATGCCTTCATAGAGTACTCGCGAGTCTTCTGGTGAGCGCAGTATAGGTTGAACAAGTTTCGGAAGCAGTTGGCGGAGTGCTGCGTCCACGTGATCGTCGAAGAGAACGTCGCTACCGGCAAAGAATACGTGAAACAAGTGGAAGAGTTTATCCTCAGGGCGCAATGCTGCAATAGAAGAGACCAATGACATCTGTGGCGCCAGTCGCTCGAACTCGAACACAAAACGACACGTGGCGCTTACAATCAACTTCATTTCGTCACTCTGCGCCCGTGTCGGACCCACACTAGTTAACGGTTTGCCATCCCCACTCTTGCTGTAAACCATTCGTGAAAGCGGACACACCATCCAGAAATTCGGTAGCGGTAGATTACTAGGGATAAACGTTCGCTCCTCTTGAGGGAGGCGCAAATGGTACGAGAACTTGTCCGTCGCCGAAGCGCTGGTAAAAACATGAATAGAGTGTGTCTCTTGCTCAAGACTGGTGTTTACAAGAGCCTGATAAATTGGAATCAGCACACGACTCATGCGTGTCGCGTCAGCTTCCTCATTAAACACGCCGAGCAACAGAAGTACACGCTGGTGGAACAACACTTTGGTGAACAAACGAGCAACCAAGTATTCCCCTCCAGCACCAAGACGCTCCACATTGATCAAGGCCTGACGGTACACGTTCCGCACGAACTCCGCGTTAAGGTGTGTGATATCATTTTGCTGAGCAGCAATAAGATCGCCCAGCAGAAAAGTAAGCTCGCACGCTTGAATTAAAGTGATGCTAAACCTGGAAGAAGATAAAGTGGCAGCAGAAGTTGCCGCAGCAAGCAAAGGATCCTTTACTTCGCGCGAAAATGTCTGCACGACCTCGTCATCATTCATGTCATCAGGCAGCAAGCCGTTGGCAACAACTTGTCGATGAAAATGAACAATCGCCAGGAGCAGCTCCCGCGTTGCCACAGTTTCACCAAGCTGAGGCAGTACTTCCCGTGTCATCTTGCTTGACTGAATAAGCGTCAACACTTCTATCAAACCACCAGTCTCCAAGTTGTACTTGGTTGCATGGGCGCTGGCAGCGGTAATAAATCTCAACACAGTGGAAAGAAGTACGACAGCCTTGACGTCATTTAATCCAGACAACGAACGGATAACTCGGGTAGCTTCATCTCTAGCTGCGTCCAGAAAGAAGTTCAATTGGGTAAAGTAATGCTGCGCCTCGTGCACGTTTCCAAGTCCACAAAAAGCTTCTAGTGCAGCAAAGAGAGCCGACTTTCGTATAGTTGAGATTTCGGTGGCATTCTGCGTAAGATTCGAGAGAACGGGAAATAGGTACGCGAAACAGTGGAAGTCGAGACCATACCCGAGAAGAATGCGCCAAATTCGAAGGCTCTCCACTTGCATCTTAGTAAACAGTACCGAAGCTTCCTCGTCATCCTTACCAGTAGGAGTTCCTTTAAGCGCTAGAAAGCCCTTTGTGCTCTGAATCAGGCCGTTTGTGACGAGAGCAGAAGCTATGCTACGTTGCCCCTGGCAAAGTGCGCGAACAAGTTGTAAGGCTTTCAAAGATAACCGCAGTGACCGAGTGTTGCCCTCTTGGAATGTCAACACCTGTTCATTCTCAATGAACTCCTGCTGCAATAACGTTATGAGTCTTGCGTTTGAGCTAATCGCGTGAGCAGCACGTGGCGAATGGCGAGCCACTGCAATCAATATCTCGAGCATTTTTTCGGTAGCACATAGGTCCGGAAGTTGAATAGTCTCGAGAATGTACAACAATCGTGTGACAATGTCCATGTTGAGAAGTGCTTGTACCGGGTCCAAGGCTGCCAAATCCTCGTCACTGATGCTAGATCCATCGTCACCTTCGGCTGTGTCAATGTAAACCACTTCTTCAGCTTCGTACGCGTAGTATTCTTTACTCTTCGCTTGATCTCCGACGCCGTTTTGATGAATATGAACTTTTGGAGGAAGTACAATGGTGCCGCTCTTTAACTCCGTAAGGTAACATTTGTCGAGTGCACAATCATCAGTTTCTACAGGCACAATAAAGGCGTGAAGTGCAGACACACCATCACTTAGAGCTGTGTAATTCTGATCATCCAGCATGATCCGCAGTGTTATGACCAAGTCACGAGGGAGCACTCGCGGTGCCACAGAAAGTGAAGCGTTTGCCTGCAGTTGACGATTACGCAAAACTCTGGCCACGACATGTAGTGCCATAGCGCGCTGGCTAGCCACAGAGCTGCGAGCAAGATGCAATAGCTCCGGTAATGTGTACCCAGCCGCATCTGGGTCATCGCCGTGGTGGAACAAGCCTGAATGTTTCGGCAGCTCTGAATCTGTTGCTGTCAACACTTTTCCATCTAGATCAAAGCGTTCAAGCGTCGCATCTTCTGCCATAGGACGTGCAACTTTCTTGCCACGTTCATACTTTTTCGTTGTCTCTTTCGTGCTCTGCGTCCATTCAAGTTTAGCGCGTTCTTCCTCAGGAAGAAGTTCCACCTGTTGTTTCAGTTCTTCTTCCGTCTTGACCGCAGCCAAATTCTTGATCCTCTCTTCCTTCTGTATCTGATCCTTCTCTTCTTCTGCTTCTTGCTCATATTTTATCACTGATCCAATCGTCATCTCTTCTGTTCCGTGTTAATGACTTGGTTTTCACTTTGTTTCATTTCCTTCTTGTCATTTTTCTTTCGTCGATTCTTGAATTTCTCAATCAGTTTCGGGTCCAACGACCTCAAAAGTTTTTGCTGAGCTTCTTCTATCTCTTGCAAACTCATTTCTTGTAATGCAGCACTGTTAACAGCGTCAATATCGCTGCTCTCCTGGTCTAAAGGTTCCTGGAGCTGCTCCTTCTTTCTAGAAGCGGCCTCACGCCGTCTACGACCAAAAAGACTTTGTCCACAGCCTCGTCTCGTTACTTGTGGAAACCCTAGCGGTTTCAAGTCAAAAACAACGTTCTGCTGACCCACAGGTGTCACATGACGCTCTATCACGCCCTTGAGAACATGAGACTCATCTTCTATCGTCGATTTAAACGCGTCTTCCGACGAGTTAGAAGCGGAAACTTTAGTACCAGACCCACAACGATATACTTTAGCTGATGGTGTCTTCTTTTGGTTTAGAAATTGCTCTTGTTCATGCAGAAGTTGCGCTAACTCGGCGTCCATATCAACGTCATGGGCGCTCATTGTGATAGTTGATCATTGGTGGAAAAGGACCGCTAAACAGGGGTAGGGGATAGGTTTGTGATGTGGTATACATGACAATCGAATTCAAATGGTCCAGCGCCAGAAGCTCACGCTTGCTCTCATTGTGTCGATTCAGCTGCTATTGTTCTCAGTCTTTCTACTCTATGAGTCTCTATCCGATATAAGTGTATTAACGAATCGTCTGCTGTTTTCTGAATCAATACGTCGTTGCATTACTAGCGCCCATCGAGACTCTCGTTACGTTAAATTAGAGATTTGTATCACTCCAGACGAACGCCTTCGAGCGTTAGAAGATCTAGTTTACAATTTAAAAGTGATGCTGGAAAATGTTCATGTAGTCTATTGGATTGATAGTGGCACGTTATTAGGAGTCTATCGTGCACGACAACTTATACCGTGGGATTACAATGCCGATGTAGGGATTATGAGGGCCGGTTTAAACTATATTCGATCTACTGATAAGGAGGTATTAAAAGTACCGGAAGGATACAACCTTGAAGTGTTTAATAGTTCGCTCTATGATCCTGGAGAGACGTCGATGGCAGTGCCAGTGAAGTTTGTGGACACGAAATTTGGATTCTACGCAAACGTATATGCGTTTGAGGAATTTGAAGGACTTTTCAAGGACGATATAAAACCAGCATCTGCACCAGTAGAGGAAGAGGTGGTGACGGTGGGCGATGGTGTTATAGTGGAGAAACTAATGGGACCAGCACCGTCGGAGCATTGGCACCGGTGCATCCATTGTCTTGTTGTGGGGGAGGATGAAGATACCGATAGCAGTAGAAAGTTTGATCCCACAGTTGTGAAACATTTTCGTATTCCAAGAGATTGGGTGTTCCCGCTACGACCGTGCAAGGTGGAGATGTTTGAAGTCATGTGCCCGGCGCAAATGACGTCATACCTCATGTACATTTTTGGAAACAGGTTCCTGACGCCCGAGTTGTGGGAGTAACACCCGACTTTACTGTTTGCTCTATTCGGCCTAAAGACAGTGTATGCAGATTAATAAATATGGATGAACAACATGCAATTAACGCAGGTAAATGATTGGGATCCTCATTTTTGTATGAGGATGGTCAAATGCTTTTGATTAAAAAGGGTGCTGTATGGCAGTGTCGATAAATTGGATACCACATATTCGACTAAAATATTACAGCAGACTCTAAAGATGACACGATGTATTGACTATATTGATGTCTTAATAAACGGTGTTTTGACCTATTTCTTGGTTTGCTTCCATCATAAAAACACAAAAAGAAATACTTTTATTCTCCAAAGTGGTGTTTTGAACCTCAGATTTAGTCCTTAAGACCCAGTTCGTCATTTCTGTGCCAGTCGAATTCTTGTAACCAGCGAAGTCCTCCAGTACAACGCATTGTCATGACCGAGACCGCTGTCCCCGATCCGTCCGTTGATTCGCTTTCTTTAAAGGAATTTACGATGGAGGATGTCAAATCACACGATACAGCGAAGGATTGTTGGATGGTCATTCGGGATGGGGGTATCCGTAAGGTTTATGATGTGACGACTTTCTTAGACGATCACCCAGGCGGCCCCGAGATCATGGTGGACGTGGCTGGACAGGACGCTACTGACGAGTTTGAGGATATTGGCCACTCAAACGACGCGCGTGCGCAGCTTAAAAAGTTTGAAATTGGTAAGATCAAGGGAGACACCAAGCAGCAGGCGTCTACCAAGACTAGCGCCAGTGGCAGTACGTCGTCGGGTCGACAGGACATTAGCGGTCAAAACGGTCCATTGTACGCCGTTCTAGTGGCTGTGGTGGCCTTCGCTGCACTCTACTTGAAGTACAAGTAAGCGACAGGGTCGAGCGACCGCAGAGCAGGACTGACGTTTGCTGGGTGTGTGTGTGTGTGGCAAACAGAGCGCCATGCTGCCACAATCTTGTCACGGGGTAAACTAACGTTACATATACGAAACTTTTTGGCTTTGCAACTTGACGTGGCTTGCTTGGATGTATGCATAGCATTGTCTTGGATGTCTGCTGCAGGCAGCCATCATGAAAACGGTTCAAAAGTCAAAAAACATACGCTTTACAAGCCCGGGAGCGCTGCTTACGACTTCAAATGACGCGCAGTTATATTGTTTGCCCCGCCATTTTCCGCCCTAAGACTGCGCTGATGTACTCCTTGCAGCGTACAGCTTGTTCCACTGCGATTGTGCGTCTCGCTTATTCTCTTTCTTGATCGCATCTACATAGCACGCCATATCCGAGTTAAAAGGAGACGTATAAACGACGAAGATCTAGGAACATTTGCCATTAACATACAAGACTGTGCGTCGATCCGTAGGCTTTCGGAACGGTGCTTCATCTTTTCTGTGGAATTCGAAATCTCTTGCATAGCCAGCTTGATACCCTGCAATTTCTTCGCATAGAACGGTAGCTTCTCCAGCACGATAGCTGCATCTTCTAATTGCTTGTTCGACTTAAGGCCAATATTCTGTTCAGTCAGCATCATTAGCAGCCGCTGCATGATTCAATCAAAACAACAACACCATCAATCTCACTTCACCGACAGCATTGCCACACATCTGCGTACCGTACCTGCTGACTCTCCTTCAACTCGGCTATCCGGCATATCGTCGCGTCCAGCGAAGGCTGCACTGTCTCAACAAGGGCGGCGCTCATGACTTCAACACCGTTGACAGACTCGTCTACGTGCCACAGCTTTTGTTTGGTCCCTAAACTGTCAAAATCTCTTTTAGTTGCTTGTTCGGTCTCTCGTGTCTTGTCCTCCTCGTGTGTCACCTCTTTTTGCACGTCCTTCGTCTTTTCTTCCAGCTTCAACTTCAATATTTCATTTTCCTCCTCTTCATCATTTTCTTCATCTTCTTCATTGTCTTCTCCAGCTGATGCCACTGCAATTGTAGGCGTTGCAAAGCGAGATGCTGCCGGGGACGACTGCGACCCGAAACCATTGAATTGAAACCTCATTTCTGAGTAGAAAAGGCTACAAATGAGCACGAATGTCTGTAGAATAATATGGATTCAAGATAAGTACTAACCTCCCTCATCCTCGTCGTCCTCTTCGCTGTCTTCACCTGCAAGCACGCGACCACCATAGATATCTGCCATTTCTTCAAGACAAAATTATTTGTATTAGGACCGTCTTTGTGCTAAAATTTATGGACAAAGAGAGTAATAATGTCGTATTTAGCACCGCAATCTGATTATTATCCCCCACTTCCTGGTGGATGAGCAAACACAAGATGGTGTAAATTTTGTATACACTTTTACTTAATAATTTGGCTACTTTGACTTTCTTAATTGCACCTTTTATACTATGATTCCAAACTGGATTGATTCCTATTGTAATAGGGCATCTAGTTACACGTAAACATTAAGTAATATACTTAATGTTTGGTCTAAAAGTATCCATGATTACTTTTGACCTGTCACTTGGGTGCGATACACAAATGTGATCCACCCCATGTGATATCCATTTATGGATTCACATGAGAAGGGATGACGCTAGTTGAAGCTAGGCATCGCGACGTCTCAGAAAGACGTCATTCGCAAACTTAAATCTAGATTTAAGTTCATACGACAGGATACGCTTCTAAAGAGTCGCGTATCCGATCTATATACACATATAGCCACTCAGTAGTTAAGTATATATATTTAGTTATAATTAATTAAATATAGCTCAGTCTTGAATTTGCTAAACACCGAAGCACCACGCACGAGAAGCTGAAAAGCTTCTACGTGACGTCGGTGCCTTCTTGTCTTAGAAGTTTGTTGCACTCTCGCTCAAGCGAGAGGCAACTGGTGGTACGACTGCTTAGACAGTCGACCAACCTCCTAACCACCCTCGCACGCGAAGGTAAGACGGTCTAACCGCTTCCTCGCTTGTGCATAAAGTGTGTGCTAGTAGTACGAGGCAACTTCGTAGAAGTGCCCGTCTATACTTGTTAGCACTAGTAGTCCTTCCCACGCACGACCCGCCTCTCTGAGCGTGCGTGTGGTTAAGATGGTCCTTAATATGGACTGGAGAGACTTCCCTCACCTCTCCCAACATCATAGGGAGTTGGCAGAGCATATGGCGCAGGGACTTGGTGAACAAGCCCTGGTCAACCTCCTCCTGAGCAACATGTTGCTCAGTTGGAGCAATTTGGGACGTTTGTGCTCGGACAGAGTGGAACGCTTCTGAGGCAAACAGCCAAGCCACCGCTGAGTCCATCACTAAGACTCAGGATGAGCTTAGGCTTGAGCAGGCACGTAATGAGGCGCTCAACAGGACTGTTGAGACGCTCTCTGCCCGGCCTGCTCAACCGAGGCCCATTCGGATGGACCCTCCGAAGTTTGATGGAACTAGCACTCACACGATTGTTCACTGGCTATTAGCAGTTGAGCAACGTGGAGTGGCGCAGCGCATCGAAGACGACACCAGAATGGTGTCGTATGCCATGTACAACTTGCGTGGCAAAGCGTCAGAGTGGGCATACTCTGCGCTGATGGCTAATGCTGATGCATTTCCATCATGGGCGATCTTTAAGGCAAAGATTCGCGCCATGTATCAGCTGCCTAACAACGTAGTGCTCTTATGGCGCGCTTCTTTGGAGCACGACAGACGAAACGCTCTCTGCAAGAATTTGTTCAGGAGATGCGTTCGCTGTCGGCGCCCATTAATGGGGAACCGATACCAGAGCGTATCAAGGTAGCCACGTTCATGAATGGACTTAGGCACGGCCCATCGCGTCAGGCCATTTTTAGAAATGTGCCAGCGTCGATGGAAGAGGCAATTGACATTGCCTTAGTTGAGGAGCAATCCTACAACAGCGCCTCGGCGAAACCCTATTACAGGCCGTCGACCGAGAAGTCTGATGCCGCTCCTATGGAGTTAGGCAATGCAGATATGATCTGCTACAAGTGCGGCAAGCGAGGCCATATGATGGCTCGCTGCTATGCCAAACTTGCTGCTGGTTCTAAGGCAGCCAGCAAAAGGTCTCCCTACCCGAAGGGAGGTGCGAAAAACCAGCGTGCACGACGCACGGGTTCAGCACCTGCCCAAGATGGGTCGGGAAATGCGGGAGCGCAGTAGGGGTGGGATGCCCTACTGTCGCGGACTCTGAAGCTACCCCTAAGTTCAGAGTGATCGAACAAATGGGTAGCATAGTCCCTGAGGTTCCGAAAGGTCGGACCTCAACCCTTCTGGTCTATAGCGCTCGAGTACGAATCTATGACCAAGTGATGACCCTTCTCGTGGATTCGGGTGCATCACAAAACTTTGTGAAACTCGCGGCTCTGAAAAGAGACCGGCGAGTTATGAGTCGCTTTGCCAGGATGGCAAGCGAGAAGAGGCGATCGTTCGTTTAGCGAACGGCGCGCTCGTTAAATCGGAGGGAGTTCAAGTTGAACTCGCCTTCAGTTTCAGTGACTTCGCTTGTAAATAGAAGTTCACAGTGCTAGGTATGGAGAGTTCGTATGACCTCATCCTAGGCATGCCTTGGTTGGATAAACACCAACCATGGATAAACTGGCGTACACGCACAGTCGCTAGCTCTACGCAAGACACCGGAAAGGATGTGCTCTTGCGAGAGGCTTATGTGATTGATGCTGTGTCCAACACAGTCGAGGGTGCGATGACGGTATGTAAATCGACACCAGGAACTACCCAGCTCGAAAGGAGTGGTGTAGTTGGAAATGCACTGGTGGAAAGCCAGGTGACACATATTCCTACCCAGGTCGAAAAGACTGGTGTAGTGAATGGGGCGATGACAGGTAGTCATGCATCCAATAGTATTGCACAGAGCCAAAAGCCTGTGGCAGTTGATGGTGGGCTGAAAGGAAGTCAAGCGCCACAAGAACCGGCACAGAGCCATGAGCCTGTTGCGGTTGGAAGGAGTGCGTTAGCTGAGATAGCAACGACACCTTCTTCCAGGTCAAAGGTCGTGGTGACTCGAAGAACGACTGAACTCTCCACACTTCCTTGAGCAAGCTGACACAGCCGATCTTGAGGATGTCGACGTGTGCCCGCGGTGGGCCGTGGGTGGCAAGGATATCGATGTCGTCGGGCACCATATTGGACCACCGCGCCTCGCCCTCTAATCTTAGATACTGGAAAGCCCAATTACTGTGCCGGCAGGATTGTGGGCTTCCGTAGACATCCACGAGATAATCACACCAGTTCCAGAAGAGAACGTGGTGGACTATTGCTCTTCATCCACAATGGATGAGAGCGTCTTGGAGACCGAAAAAAAGAAACGGTTCGCTGATCAAGGCTGGGAAGCCTTGAAGTACAGACCGTTCTATGATGTTCTGTGGAATTACCGTGATGTGTTTCCAGCAGAAGTGCCGAGCCGCCTACCGGCCGATAGGGGCATCAGGCACGAAATTGACCTGGAGCCTGGCATCAAGTATTGTGTGACCAGGCAATGGCCGTTGCCGAAGGAACAAGTCGATTACATCGATGAGTTCTTCGACAAGCGAGCCAAGGCGGGACATGTACGTGAGAGCAAGTCGCTTCACTGCAGCCCGACCTTCTGTGTGCGTAAAGCCACGGGTGGATGGCGCGTGGTTCATGCTTATAATAAGCTGAACACGGCCACCATTCCGGCTCAAACGCCGATCCCGCGGAAAGATGTTTTGTTGAATTCTATGGGAAAGTCAACTATCTTTTCCGCGTTGGATCTGAAGGATGGCTACTATCAGGTTCTCATGCGAGATACCGATGTAGCCAAAACGGCAGTAAGCACCCCAAGCGGTATGCTGTGGGAGTGGCTTGTGATGCCACAAGGGTTGAAAAATGCTCCGGCAACATTCAACCGAGTGGTGGCTCACGTGATGCGTCAGTACCGTGCCTACGCGCCCCATTACTTTGACGATGTATTAGTGCATAGTAGGGCGGAGGACGGTCTGAGCGCGATAGAGTCGCACAAGCGTCATTTAGACGCTGTGTTGCAGACTCTGGGTGACGCCCAATTATACGTGAACTTGCAAAAGTGCGTAATAGGGGTCCCCGAGATACCTGTACTGAGCTGCATCGTAGGTGCACATGGTGTACGAGCAGACTCAGAAAAGGTAAAGGCTGTAAAGGAATGGCCAGTCCCACGACATGTGAAGGATCTGCGCCAATTCCTTGGATTTGTTAATTGCTTGCACAAGTACAGCAAGAATTATGCGGAGCAGACCAAGCCATTTTCTGATCTTTGAAAAAGGATGCAGAATGGACTTGGTCAAAGGAGCAAGAGGATGCGTTCACTTCAGTGAAGCAATCTCTTGTAGAGGCACCGGTCTTGGCATTGCCAGACGCGGATAGCCCTTTAGCGTCGTCTGCGATGCAAGCAATTTAGCAATTGGCAGCGCGCTCATGCAGAAGGATGACAACGGTGTTGACCGTGTCATATCTTATCAGTCTCGGCTTTTAAAAGCTGCCGAGCTGAATTACCCTGTGCATGAAAAGGAGCTACTTTCAATTAGGTATGCCCTTGTGAAGTTTCGGGTGCACTTCTTGGGCACCGAACCTTTTGTGGTTTATACGGATCACGCATCACTGCGGACCGCTATAAATTCACCGCACCTCTCGCCGAGAATGGCGAGATGGCTAACATTCTTCTCTAAATTTAATTTCAAAGTTGAATATAAGCCGGGTAAGTCGAATGTCTTGGCTGACGCGTTATCGCGCAGGCCAGACTTCGAGGCAAGACACCAGGAAGGTGTGTCTCGTGCGAAAGTACAAGTTGAGTCGTCAACATTGGCAGCCATGAAGGCCTACCATGTGACGAGCTCAATGGCCTCCGATATAAAGGAGTGTTACAGTCAGGACGAACATTGTCGCCTGCTGTTGGATCATTTTGGTGGACGAAAGGTTTCCCTTCCGTCGCATCTCAATGCGAAACTAATTCGCTTTAGTTACAGTGATGGCCTGTTATGGCATCAACTGTCACCCTGTGATCCCTTGAGAATCTATGTCCCTCATGATGACATAGATCTCAAGCTGATGATACTTCACGAGTGCCATGATGCGCCATCTAGTGGTCATCTGGGCTGTGAAAAGACATTCTTACGAGTGCCAGAGGAATTTTGGTGGCCCCGCCAATATCGGTGGGTGGCCAACTATATCCGCTCTTGCGAAG